TTGAACCAAACTTTTGAACAAATGGACTTAGTAGATGTCTACAGAGTGTTCCACCCCACAACATCAGAACACGCAATCTTCTCAGCTGCACGTGGGACTTTCTCCAAAATAAACCATATACTAGCTCATAGAACATGCTTAAGTAAATGCAAAGGAGTTGACATTATCCCATGCACATTATCAGACCATACTGCAATCAAATTGGAAAGTAACGCCAAAAGAAACCACAAGAACTTCAGAGATACACGGAAATTAAATAACACCCCTCTGAGCAACCAAAGTGTCACAGATTAAAGAAGAAATCAGACAACTTCTACAATTTAACGTTAATAATGACAACACAACGTATAGGAACTTATGGGATGCAATGAAGGCAGTCCTATGAGGGAAATTTGTAGCAGTGAATTCCCATATTAGGAAAACAGAGCAGGCTCAAATAACCTAATGTTGAACCTCAAGCTTCTAGAAAAAGAAAAGCCAGCCAAGGTCAAAGCAAGTACGAGGGAGGGAATTATAAAAATCAGAGCAGAAGTTAATGCAATGGAGACTAAGCAAAAAATACAAAGAATCAATGAATCGAAGAGTTGGTTCTTTTTTTGTGTGTGCCAGGGATCAAACTCAGGACCTTGCGCTTTCGAGGCAGGTGGCAGAACCACTGAGCCAAATCCCCAGCCCCTGTTCTTTGAAAGATTAAATAAAATCAGGCCAGGGATTTAGCTCAGTGGCACCGCATCTGCCTTGCAAGTGCAAGGTCCTGAGTTTGATCCCTGGTACCACACATATGAAAAAGTTTTGTTTTTTTTTTTTTGGTACCGGGGATCAAACTTGGATCCTTTGGCTTGCGCAGCAGGTGGACGAAAAAGAACTAAATAAACCGACAAACCCCTAGCCAACCTTATCAAAAAAAAAAAAAAAAAAAGGAAAGGAAAGAAAAGAAAAGATTAAAATCAATGCAAAAGAAAAAAAGGGGACAAGGATTTAGCTCGGTGGTTCCGCCACCTGCCTCACAACCACAAGGTCCTGAGTTTGATCCTTGGTACCAAAGGAAAAAAAAAAAATCCATGTACTTAGGAATGAAAATGGAGAAATCACAACAAACCCTGCAGAGATCCAGAAGATCATCAATTCCTACTTTGAGAACCTGTATTCTAGTAAGATGGAAAATACAGAAGAAATGGACAGATTCCTAGATATCAAAACTGAATAAAAAGATATAGAAATTCTAAATAAACCAACATCAGCCAATGATATTAAATATGTAATTTAAAAACTACCACCAAGGGCTGGGGATTTAGCTCAGTGGTGCCGCCACCTGCCTCCGCAAGCACAAGGTCCTGAGTTCAATCCCCAGTACCAAAAAAAACCCCCCAAAGTCCAAAAACTACCAACAAAGAAAAGCCCTGGCCCTGATGTATTCACTGATGAATTCTACAAGAAATTTAGAGAAGACCTAATGCTGCTACTCCACAAACTTGATAATGAAATTGAAAGGGAAGCAATACTCCCAAATTCATTCCTAGAAGCAAGCATTACCCTGATCGATTCCAAAACCAGAGAAGGATCCAACCAAAAAGAATTACAGGCCAATCTCCTTAATGAACATAGATGCAAAAATCCTCAATAAGATATTGGCAAACAGAATGCAGCAAATTATCAAGAAGGTTATACACCACGACCAAGTTGGATTCATCCTAGGGATTCAGGGATGGTTCAACATATGCAAATCAATAAATGTAATACACTATATTAACAGAGCCAAGGACAAAAATTATGATCCTCTCAATAGATGCAGAAAAAGCATTTGACAAGGTCCAATACCCATTCATGATAAAACCTTACAGAAAATTGGTATAGATGGTCTTTATCTCAATGTGATAAAAGCTTTCTATGACAAACTAATAGTCAACCTCATATTAAATGGACAAAAGCTGAAAGCTTTCACTCTAAAATCAGGAACAAGACAAGGATGTGCACTGTCACCACTCTTGTTCAATACAGTTTTGGAAACATTAGCCAGAGCAATCAGACAAGAGAAAGAAATAAAAGGAATAACGATAGGAAAGGAAGAAGTTAAATTATCATTATTTGTGGATGACATGATACTCTACATAGAAGACCCCCAAAATCCCAGCAAAAGACTTTTAGATTTGATAACTAAATTCAGTGGTGTAGCTGGATACAAAGTGAACACTCAAAAGTCAATAGCCTTTGGGCTGGGAATTTAGCTCAGTGGCACTGCGCCTGCCTTGCAAGCACAAGGTCCTGAGTTCAATTCCCAGTACCAACAAAACAAAACAAAACAAAATAAAAAAACAACCAGGAAAAGTCAATAGCTTTCCTGTACATGAATAATAGACTCAGAGAGAGAGAAATTAGAGAAACAATCCCTTTCACAATAGCATCCCAAAAAATGAAATACCTAGGAATCAATCTAATAAAGTAAAAGATCTCTACATTGAAAACTACAGTACTCTGAAAAAGGAGATTGAAGAGGATATCACAAAATGGAAAGATAGCCCTTGTTCTTGGATAGGAAGAACCAATATAGTGAAAATGGCCATATTTCCAAAATTGTTATACAGATTCAATGCAATCCCAGTCAAAATCCCAAACAGTGTATCTCACAGAATTACAAAAAACAATCCTAAAATTCATTTGGAACCAGAAGAGACCTAGAATAGCAAAGGCAATTCTGGGCAACAAAGGCAAGGGAGAAGGTATCACAATACCTGACCTGAAATTATACTACAAAGCTACTGTGATAAAAACAGTATGATACTGGCAAAAGAACAGACTTGTGGATCAATGGAACAGGCTAGAAGATGCAGAAACAAATCCAAACACACACTCAGCCACCTTAACTTCGACAAAGGAGCCAAACACCTTCACTAGAAAAAAGATAGCCTCTTTTATAAATGGTGCTGGAAAAACTGGCTTTCCACATGCCAAAGATTGAAAGTAGAACCATATTTTTCACCATGCACTAACCTAAAATCTTTTTTTTTTTTTGGTACCAGGGATTGAACTCGGGTCCTTGCACTTGCAAGGCAGGCAGCAGAACCACTGAGCTAAATCCCCAGCCCTAACCTAAAATCAAAATGGATCAAAGATGTAAATATAAAAACAGAAACACAAAATCTGCTGGAAGAGAGAATAGGTAGAACACTTGAGGACATGGGAGTAGGCAAAAACTTCATGAACAAAACCCAGACTGCACGGGAAATAGTACAAAGAATCAACAACTGGGACCCCATCTTATTAGAAAGCTTTTGCACAGGAAGAGAAACTACCAACAGAATGACGAAACAACCCACAGAGTGGCAAACTTTTTTATCAGCTATTCAGATAAAGGACTATTATCTAGAATATATAGAGAACTAAAAAAAGAAAATCAGACCCCCCAAATTTAAAGACCCAATCCAAAATTGGGCATTTGAAATAAAAAGACACTTCTCAGATGAAGAATTAGAAATGGGAAGTAAATATATGAAAAAAAAGTTCAACATCACTGGTCATTCGTGAAATGCAAATTAAAACAACCCTGAAATCCATCTCACTCCAGAAGGAATGGCTGCTATCAAGAAATCAACCAAAGACAAATGCTAGAGGGAAAAAGGAATGCTTCTCCACTGCTGGTGGGAGTACAGACTGGTGAAACCACTGTGGAAATCAGTATGGAGATTCCTCAAAAAAATAAAACTAGAAGTTCTATTTGACCCAGCTATACCTCTTCTTGGTATCTTCCCAAAAGAATTAAAAACGTCATACCACAGTGATATATGCACACCCACGTTTATAGCAGCACAGTGTGTAATAGCTAAATCTTGGAAATAGCCCAAATGCTCATCAAGTGATGAGTGGATAAAGATGTAGTTTTCTTATACAGTGGAGTACTACTCTGCCATAAAGATGAGCTTCAGCCATTTATAGCCAAATGCATGGACCTTGAGCCCATACTCTTAAGTGAAATAAATTGGGCACACATGTTTAAATACCCCATTGCTTCTCTGGTGTGAGAAACTGAAGGTGGAAATAAGGACTGAAATGTATAATGGATGTTGGGCAATGGGAAGAAAGTGTTCAAATGGGAAGGGGAACAGGGGAGGAGGGAGGGAGAAAGGAAGGGACTAAAAAAGGTGAAAATTGAAGGGAAAAATGGAAACAAAGCTTTTGCACGTGGGGAGGAGAGGGGTTTAAGAGGGGATGGGATAAAATAAAATTTATCTAAAAGAAGAAAAGAAAAAGAAAGCAGCTACAGAAAACCTAGCAGACTTACAAACTGAGCCGAAAAGATGAGTGTTTGAATTTTAAGTCTGTTGCCATATTTTAAGCCAGTGCCAGCTGCTGGCTGGCTGACTCCACGGAAGAGCCCCCGCAGGTACGTGAAAGCCTGCAAGGCACAGTACGGTGGCTACAGCTGAATGGGTTGGCGTTGAGCTGAGCTGGGGACATGGAGCTGTCCAGGAGCCCATGAGGGAAAGCACAGGGCAGGTGTGGACAGAGGCCAAAGCCAGGGGAACAGGAAGCTGTGCTGAGTTCCCAGGGAGGGAGACAGCCCCTGATAAGATGACCTGACCCCAACTGGGAATATGGCCAGTGCCCTGACCCCTGCTTCCACTGCTGTCCTCTTCCCGGGCAGGGTAGAGGTGCTGGAGGAACCTTTCCTCCATCAACCGGATCTAGGCCTCTGTACCCTCTCTCCTTTCTCTCTCAGCCTCTCCTCTACCCCTTGGCCACCTGGACTCTTTTCGTCCTTGTCAGGACCAGGAAGTGGATGAGGAGGGAGGTCATAGAGTTCTATGGCCTCTGACCGTTCAGCCTGTGGTCCACCGATGGCCTTGTGGCCCTACAGTGCCAAGTACACCAGACTGTGCTGGTCCTGAGGCTGTGTCCGTTTTGCAGACATGCAAAGAGGTGCCCATTAATCCAGGTTGCTGATGGTGCCCAGCCATGCCTGCCGTCCTCAGGGCTGCCCAGCAGGAAGGAAACACCAGCACAGCTAAGCTCCAAGGATTCTTTTATTGATTCCTGGATCCAAAGGTGAGCAGGCTGTCTGGAGATGACAATGCAGGTGACCCCTTCTCTGCTGTCATCCTCAGCAAGCCTCCTTATCCCCTCCAGATTGGCTGTGGTCAGGGACTCCTGACTCAGACCTCTTCAGCCTGGGGCAGGGGATGTGCTTCCCATGATGTCCTAGCAAGGATACTGGGCTGGACCTCAGGCCACCTCCTGGGCCAATGGCTGCAAGTCAGTCTCAGGCAGCACCCAGCACCTTCCTTAAGTATTACCCCAGTTTCTGGTGGTCCCAGCAGGATTGGCTAAGGCACCATGGCAAGACTGTGTCCTGCTGCAGGTCAGAGCTTTGTAGGGACCTAACCCTCTGGGAACATGTGACAATGCAGCTACTTTTTCCACCGGGGTGGCCGGGAGCCACTGCTGCAGTTGTTGGGGGTGGGGGTGGCTGGTGTGGATGCAGCTCCTGACTCCCTTTTGGGGATCAGCTTGTGCTTCTCTTCTCTGTTCATGAGGAAGGACTGGGGCGATGAGGAGGCCAGCAGGGCCTGCACGACTCTCACAGCACCCACAGCTCCCAGGAGCCCCCAGAGCAGGTTGGGGGGCTCCAGGGAAGACAGCTGGGTCCGCACCCAGTGAAGGGCCCGGGCCAGCGCATGGCTAGAGCTGCGGGTTCGGGGCGGGGTCTTGTCCTGTGAGCAGATGGAGGAAGGTGCCCATAGGGTGGGCCCCTGCCGGCGGGAGTCCCCCACCACCTCCCCCAGCCGCGTCCACGCCCTCCTACCTTAAGCCCAAACTGCCGCAGCAGTGATTCCAGGGTCGGGTCCCCCAGGGACACAGGTGGGAAGAATTCCTCCACCCACTGGCGGTGCCACCACCGGCTGCAACGGGACTGGATCCTCAGCACCTGGCCCAAGCCCCACCCCAGCACCCTGCCCAGCACCCAGCCTTACCCCTGCTCCCCGGGATGAGAGAACCAGTATTTGTAGCGCTGGGCTCGGACATAGGTGGGTGGCTGCTTATGAAAGGGGTACTGGGCAGCATCATTCTGGATCAGGCGGACCACTATGAGGGGGATGGGACTCAGCACGGCTTGTAGAACACAGGCTCTGCACCCCTCTCCCGCCCTCCCTGCTCCTCTCACCTGGCTCCTTGCCCTGCAGCAGGCGGAGCACTAGGCTGGTAAACCAGGGACTGTGTGTGTGCGGGCCCAGGGCTGCAAACCACATTTGCCAGTCCAGGCGTGGCTGGTGGGGCACCACGATGGGGGGTGGGCGGCTCACATTTCCGGGCTTGTACATGAACTCGATCTCCTGCCAGGTGGAGCCCAGGTCAGCTGGGCTGGCTGGCCTGGGTCCCTGTGACCCCCAGGCCCTGGGAGGCTCACTGTCCAGTGGTGTCCATCGTAGCTGCCTTCCAGCACCACCTCAGGCCGCCCACCCAGACCAGTCATCCGGCGGAAGAGGCCATATGAGTTGGCCAGCTGCAGGTGCTCCATGGTGTCAAAGAGGTGGTGAGCCCCAGACCAGAGGAGCCCATGGGTCCCAGGCTCCACATAGGAGTACGGCACCTGTGGCGGGTAGAGGTTCAGCGCTGCCCTCCGGGCCCCTCCAGCCCCACACCCTGCTGTGCCACCCACCAGGCTGATCAGGAACAGGGCCACCGTGGTAGTGCCCAAGACGCAGAGCTGGATCGCAGCACAGACCTTCCGCAGCCACCCCTGAACCTGCACCCACCTGGGGACAAGGCCAAGTGTGATCAGACTGCCCTGGGAATGGGTCCTCACCCCCTGCCACAGGCACGTACCCCCAGAGGGCAGCCAGCAGCTCCCAGGTCAGGGAGGCAGCGCCTAGCCACATCGTGGGCAGAGTCACCATCTTCAGCCACTGCGAGAACTGGTGGAAGGTGAAGGCTGCCAAGGGAAGGGAACATGAGGAGGGCTGGCCTGGCCCCCATCCTGGGCCCCCACCTGGCACTCACTGCTTCTGGAGTGGACCATGCGCTGCTGCCAGTCAACTTCCAGGCCAAAGTAGTGTGCGGTGCCATAGGCCAATGTCCCGTAGACGGCCAGTTCCAGTAGCAGGGATAGCTTGGTCAGCAGGGCCCTAGGCCAGGCTGTGGGCAAGACAGTCAAAGGATGGCAGAGGGTCCACAGCCCGGGGATGGGGAAGCTGGGGTGTGGGTCTTTCAGGGAGTGCTAGAACAAAGGAGATACACTAAAGGGTGGGGATGTGAGGATGGAAGCAGCCCGACACTCACAGGTGGGCATCTTCCTGGGGTGGCAGGGGCTAGGCTCAGCAGCCAGATGCTGGTCGTCCAGGAGGGTGGTGGTGAGCACCAGCGTGAGCAGGTTGAAGAAGTTGTAGTTGCCGGTGATGATGATCAGGATTTGTAGCAGCACCTGGGGAAGGTTTGCCCTTGAAGCTCTCAAGAGCCATGTCCTAGCTCCACTAACACAGAAACAGACCTCCCTCAGCGTGGCTGTACGACACACATCTGCCCACCCTGAGTAATACACCCTCTGCCTGTGAGGTTTCCCTGACAGCAGCAGCCACTCGCCTGCCAGCGCTGCCCTGTACCCCTCCTACCTGAGTGTAGAAGGCGGCCAGGCGCAGGCGGCGAATAGGGGCGAAGAACAGAGGGGGCACTGCAATCTCGATGAGGAAGGTGGCCACCACGCTGAGCTTGTGCAGCCAGACGGGCAGGTGGTGTGCAAGCCAGGCAGCAGGTGTGGGCAGACACTGTGTCTCGTAGTGGTAGGTGAGGGCTTCAGGGCACAGGTGGGTGGTTAGGGCTGTGTGGAGCCCCCAGGCCACCCCAGTTCCAGGCCAGGACACTCACCTGTGAGTCCCCACCATGCGGGGCAGCGGCTGGTCAGCTTGACCACACCCGAGGCAAACATGAGGCGAAACAGCAGCCAGCGCACGAGCCAGAAGGGGAGGCTCTTGTAGGCAGAGGCCCCCACCAGCCCGCCCTGGGGAGCCTGATTTCGGCCAGAGGGCTGCCTCAAAGGGGCGACCAGCACAGCCAGGAAGCCTGTCTCTAGCAGCAGGGAATCCCTGTGGGGAGAAGAAATAGCACCAGGAACCCCTCTCCAGGGCTGTTTCCCTCAGAGGGCCTTCCAGGAAAGGCAGGCAGCCACCCTGGCCAGAGTCACTCACCACTGGAAATAGAGGAACACCTGGCCCACCTGTGGAGAGAAGGGCTGTCAGGGAGCAGGGTATGTCTGCCAGTGAGGCGAGGCAGCAGCAGGCAAGTAGGATGCGAGTGGAATGACAAGGGTCCCACTTGCCTGGCAGACGGACAGGTAAGCAGCCCAGAGCAGCAGATAAATGAGGGGGTGGCGTAGCCGATGAAGGAGCAGGGGACCCAGGGCCAGCACTGTGCCCAGCAGGCTCAGCAGCTCCACGCCCTGGGCTGTGTCCAGTCCCAGCCTTGGTGCCTCCCATAGCAGCGTTGGGGTCTCCCACAGCTGTTGCCAGCGCCCCTTGCCCTGTGGCCGCAGCATTCTCCTTGCAGGTAGGATGCCCTCCGGGCCATACAGGCCTATGGGAAGGTATGTCGGCGCCAGGCCCGGACACTGCCCTCCCAGACTCAATGCACCCCGAGTCAGGGAAGGCAGATGCCCCTCACCCCAGGGAGAGCCCGCAGATGACCCCTACTCCAGACCGGTCAGCAGATACTGCCTAACCGGGGTAGGGACAAGCTCCTTCCGGCCAGAGCTGTTGATACCCACCCCAGATCCTAAATGCCTGTCCCGCTACCTGGGTCAGCACCTCCGGCCCAGCAGAACCTAGTTCCCTCTCCTGTCCCACTACGTCCGGGCAGAAATGTCTCCCATCGCCCTAGGGTTCTGTCCCCATGCCTAGAAAAATCTCTAGGGGCGCGGGAAAAGCACGTCTTCCTACCGCCAAACAACTGCCCCCCATGCTTGCGCCTAGGCCTGGAGCTCACGTCCGCTCCAAAAGGCCGGAGCGCGAGGTCGGTCCACGAGACGATGCAGGGCCCCGCGCGGATTGGGGGGGTGCCCTACGCGGGGATAGTCCCACTCTCGGGCCCTCACCCGGGATCTGCGTGTAGAGAGAAGCGAAGGCGAACATGAAGACGGCAGCCACGCCCTGGAGAAAGAGCTGCTGCGGGAGCAGAGAGCCCGCCATGTCCACTACGCGGCGGACGGAGCGCAGCCCGGATCAGGTGGCTCCGCGATCCCACCCCGCCCCACAGGCCCACAGCCCCACAGCCCCACAGCCCCGCCCGCCGCTGAGGGCGGTGGTTTCGGCCGTAGTCCCGCCCCCGCACTCTGGCCCCTCCCCCGCCCCTTCCGCCCTTCCCGCCGCCGCTCTAGCCCCTGCCCGGCATGACCCCGCCCTCCCGGCGCCTCAGGCCCGTGTTACGTCACAGAAACGCAACGATACGTGGCTGGCATGTACGTAAATTGGCGCTCAGTTTACTTACTTCCTGGGCGGGAACAGCAAAATGGCGCCAGAGCTGGTGGCGGGCTGAGGCCGCGGCGGGCGCTGTCAGAAGCCAGCGCTGAAGGCCCGGGCCGCCCGGCCCCTCCCTGACATGGAGGACGTGGAGGCGCGCTTCGCTCACCTCTTGCAGCCCATCCGCGACCTCACCAAGAACTGGGAGGTGGACGTGGCGGCCCAGCTGGGCGAGTACCTGGAGGAGGTGAGGTGGCGGGGTGGCGCGCGCAGGCGGCAGGTCGTGGCCTCTGAGCTCGTCTTCAGGCTCGCTCTCTTCCCGGATTCCAGTCCTGCTTCTCGAAACCATCCCTCGCTGGATGCGTCTGGAGCTGTCATTGCAGTTCTGGTTAGCGATCGATGACGGCGACTGACCTGATGGAGACCTGCCCAGGTCTCTAGTGTAGCGGAATAGACGGGGACACATTTCCGTTTAGTTATTGTGTGCATGTTTGAGAGACCTGGATCGCAATATAAGAAAGGGTTGTTTGGATTTTCAAGCTAGGTCCATATTTGATTCTGTTCGCATTTTTTTTTTTTTGGTACCGGGGATCAAACTCGGGACCTTGCGCTTGCGAGGCAGGCGCTGGAACCACTAAGCTAAATCCCCGACCCAACCCTGTTAGCATTTTATTTCTTCCACATTTGACATGCGTCTAGACATGTTAAGAAGCTGTCAGCTCTGTTTCTGCACTTCATTTCCACTCCTCAACCCAGCATAATCTGGCTTTCACTAGTGAATACTTACACATCTCTGTTTTGATCAGTAGTGACATCCATCTTACCAAATCCAAGGGACACTAGAAATGTCATCTTATGCAGTTTTGCAGCATTTGTAGGGTTGAGGACACCTTTCTTTTTGAAACAGTGATGGTATGGCTTTATGAGAACTTCCGGATTTGTGCCTCTGTTCCAGCCTCTGTTCCTCCAGATCTGTTATTACCCAGGTGCTCTCTTGACATTCACTGACATGTAATGTGAGCATCTCAGATTTGACTTACAGAGGAGCTCTTCATCTTTCTGCTCAGACCCCATCTTCTCCATCTCAGTAAATGGCACCGTTGTTCCACTGAAAGCGAAAGTTGAAAGGCACTGGTAGTGGAGCTGCAAACTTCACACTGGGTTCACCCCTGAATTCTATAAGGTACACCACCAGCATATCAGGTAAACTCGTCTGTTGTGCATCTTCTATGGCTCAGGCCTGGATCTGTTTAAAACCTTACCATTAGTGCTCCCTACTGGTTTTCTGGCCTGATCCGATCTGTGTTCCACTCAGCAGCAAGTGTGACTCTCTCAACAATTAAAATCAGGGCAAAGCACTGCCCAAACTAAAACCCTTTAGTGGGTTTTCATTGACCTTAGAATAAAATCCAAGCTTTCTCTTCTGAGTCTGACCCTCTCCACTGGTTTTGCCCTATTTCAGGCTGTTGTCTACCTTGTTCTTTTGAAGCTGTCAGCCTACGGCGTCCCAAGCTTATTTTTGGCCGAAAATCTTCACACTTTTTGCTCTCACTGGAAGTAGTCTTCCAAGTCCTTTTCATCCTTAGGTCTTAGCTTAAATGACAGCCCCACTATCTTATCTAAAATAGTCCTGAGGGCTGGGGATTTAGCTCCGTGGTGTTGCTGCCTGCCTCACAAGTGCAAGGTCCCGAGTGCCATCCCCCATACCAAAATAAAAATTAAAAAAAAAAAAAATTCCTGAGCTCTGTGATGGCACTTATCTACATTAGAATGTTTATCACAAGCCATTCTTCCACTTATTTCCTTGTTTGTGGCCTGTCTTCAACCTTGAAAATAAATTCTGCAAGGGCAGGGACCATGTATACGCTCTTTTCCTTCTGCTTAGTAGAGTGCCTGGCACATAATAGATGCAGAGTAAATGTCAAGTGAATGCGTGATCTGATGATTGATCATCTCTGCTCTGATGCACATCTGCTGCCAAAATGCAGAGAACTGTGCCAGGTGAAGCTACTGTACATTCAGGTTCCTGCATGGAGCAGGGTCCTGGGGGCACCTGGAAAGTCCATTTCCTGGCTTGGTCCATTCTCCATTTGCTTCCTATGACTGCTCTTCCAAACCTTCCCTGCCCCTGAGGTCCTGAGTTGTGGCTGCTACTTTAGCCTTTTTTCTCTTTTTATTACCAGAAAGTTCTTTTTAAATTTTTCTTTTAAAGATAGCAATGTTTTACATTTATTAAAGGTGGGATCAGAAACATGATGTGCTGAGTGAGGGCCAATTAAAAGTAGGAAAAGAAGTACACTGTACATGGTGAAAGCAACCACTGTAAAAAAGAGAGCATAGTGGGCCAGAATATTCTTTATTTCTAACACATCTTGTGATCTTATCCTCCTTCATCCATGTATTTATTTCTTATTACTGAGTATCTCCTGTGTGCCAAGAACCATATTAAACTCTTGAGAAAATAATGGTGAGTAAAGGGTGGGGCCTGATGGTGCATGGCTATAAACCCAGCACTTGGGAGTTTGAGGCAGGAGGATTGCCACTAGTTTAAGGACAGCCTGAACTACACATAGAGACTCTGTCTCAAATAAAAGAAAACCAAAAAGTGAGTAAAGCAAACAATAATCTGTGCTTTGGTGGGACTTTACTCTCATGGGAACATGAGTCCTAATACAGCAGCCAAATAAGATTGTAAATGTCATGCATCTGGTGCTTACTTGGCCAAGCACTGTTTTGGTGTTTTTGTTTTTTTTTTTGATATTTTACACATAGAAGTACCTGTAATCCTCACAAAAACTATTTGAAGAGGCACTAGCAGGATTAGGGGTGTGCCCAGAGTCACAGCTGATGGTGGGCAGGACAGGTCCACTTTGCACCACTGTGTGTGTTGTGTTGTCATAAGCTTGTGACAGGCGTGAGAGAAAAGTTTAGCATTGTATGAAGACTTTGACTGGAAGACTTAGTTTGTTTGGGGTAAACGAGTTGCCTTATTCTTGAGCTGAAGAATGTTCCATGCAGAGGGGACACAGTGCTGAAGGTTCTGAGGTGGGAAGGCACTGGGCTCAGTGGTGGGCCTGAAAGTGGACCCATGTGGCTGCTGGGCCTGGAGCTAGAGAGGGAGACTGGTGAGTATGGAGGCCTCCTGTAGGAGCTCTTTAAGACTTTGGGTTTTTCCTAAGAGTGGTGCTGTTAGGGTTCTGAGTGAAGCACTTGGCAGTGAAGAGTAGCTGGGAAGGGAGTGAGAGATAGGAAGAACCCTGTTAGTGCACAAGTCGGGGCTGGGCCAGACCAGTCACCGGAGAGAAGCATGGAATTGGCAGGGTACTGGGCCTCTATTGAATGGGCAGGTGAGAGAAGGAGGGAAGGAAACCCCTGGGTTTCTGCGCAGTGGGTTGGGGGCTGCCCTGACTTAAGTGTAGACTTGTTCATTGTGAATCTTGGTCGTGACATCTGAGTGACGGAAGAAGACAATTGGATATATGGGTTTGGGATTAGATGGAGGTTCAACCTGAAGCTGTGAGACCGTATGTGATGTCCTGGAGCCCATGAGTGGGCTGGGCTGAGATTTGTCTAAGGGAAGGGCCCTTTCTTCAGCTTGGCTTGCAGGGCTTCATGCACCTCCTCTCCCTTCAGGCCAGGCTCTCAGGTTCTGGCCACTTTGTAGTCTCACACTTCTGTGGACTATAGAGAATTAGTGGACATAGCTTGTTTTTGGTGACTTCCTCCTGGATATTCCTCTTCTGCCACTGGGCCCAATATCTTGTCTGTCCAGCACCCTACATTTGGCCATGTTTGTGTAATACTCATTTTCTTAAGTGTGTAGTTGTATCCTGACTCTGCTGATTCCCTTTGCATGGGTCATTGTTCTTCCTAAAATACCATTCCTTTCACCTGTCTGGTGAGTTTCTGTTTATTTCTCAGGTTTAATTTTGATGTTATCTTTTCATTAGCTCATGAGGTATTTACTGGACAATGGTGTCAGGCACTGAACTAGAGGCTGGAGTTGTCTTAGTACTGCTCACAGTCCATTAAAATAAAAAATAGTGCAGGGCCGGGGATTTAGCTCAGTGGTTCTGGTGCCTGCCTCCAAAGCGCAAGGTCCCCAGTTCGATCCCCAGTACCAAAAAAAAAAAAAAAGCAGTGCAGTAAGCTGGGCATGGTGGTGCACCCATATAATCCCAGCACTTGGGAGGCTGAGGCAAGAGGACTGCTGCAAATTCAAAGCTAGCCTGGGGTACATAATGAATTCAAGGTCATTCTGAACTATGCAGTGAGACCTTTCCCCCCAAAAATATAGCACAACAAGACACACTGATGGGGTAACAAGGAGGCCCCCAGCAGTGAGGGAGACCCTGCAAGTTTCACCAGGGACACTTGGGGGCATGTGTACCAGGCAGACAGATGAAAGAGCTCAGAAAAAACATGTGGAGGCTTCAGTGTTGCTTGCTGAGAGGGGCCAGCTTTGTGGGGAAGATCTTGAGTTAAGTATGGAGACAAAATGTTTGAAGGCTTGGGGGTACAGCTCAGTAAGAGGGTCTAGCATGTGGGAAGCCCTGGGTTGTTAAACCCCAGTACCTACCAAAAATAAAAAATTGTGGAAGTGTTTTGATCTCTGGAGATCCTTAGTGGGCTGCTGTAAATGTAGTTCCAGAGCTTTGGGGAGAAGATGGTCTGCAGATGAGTTTGGGAGTTGTTGGCGTATGTTGGTAGCTTGGGCACAGGGTATAAAAATAAATGCACTGGTGGAAGATGTGCCTCATGAAGAGGGGACTTGGGTAACGTGGTGGGCTGGGGCCACTTCTCTGCGGTGGGGGATGGAAGCA